AAAATAGCAACAACAACAATCACAAAAGAAATCAGTGGCTGATAATGTAGTGATACATAGGACAAATATTTTCCTAGGAGGGTAACACAGATATGGTCTTTAACCTTAGGTAAGATAGTCAGCTTCTCTATTTTAACAACGCATGCAAAAACTGAACTACAAAGAAATAAATGCCTAGGGTTTCTTTTTGTTTATTTTTCTTTCTTTGATTTTTTTGAAAAAAATCAGAAAAGCACAAAGTATAGTATATAATTTCCGATATGCAGGCCATCAAAAAAATGAGTATTAATACTTTGCCATATTTGCTTTAGAATTTTTTTTAAGAAAAATGAGGCATTTCAGATAAAATATTAGTTCCCTTTGTTTTCTTTCCATTTCCTTCTTTCCCAAGGCCAGCATTCTGCTACAGTTATCAGGAGTCCTTCCACTGTGTCTTTTCAGAATTTTACTATATGTATAGATATATATGGATAGATTGCTATATGTACATTACAATATACACCATTATAAAATAATCTATTGAGTGTTATTTTGTATATTTTGAATGTTAGGCAATGGTATCATATGTATCAATCTGCAACCCAATTTTCTCAATCAACATTATGTTTTTGATATTTATCTATATCAACTGAATCTTAATACAAACAGATCCGGTTAATTCATTTTAAGTGTTTTATACTATTTTGTCGAATAAATAAACCACAATTTATTTATTCTTCTGATGGTGGATATTTCTATTACTTCTAATTGTTTACTATTACAAACAATGCTACAACGAATGCCCTTCAACTTGTCTCCTTAGGCACATGTATCAGAGTTTCATTGGAGTAATTTTCTAGAAGTGAAATTGCTGAGTTGTAGGATATATGCATTGTCAACTTTTTTCAATATTGCCAAAATGGTCTCCAGTGTGAGTGTGCCATTTTATACTCCCTTTCAGCAATGTTGAAACTAGCTTTCTAAAACAAATATGCCAAATATACTTCCTACAGTTTTGAGGATTTTCCATTGCAGAATTTAACCGTTTCCCACCAAATGTCCTGTGTGTTTCTTTACATATATTTCTTCTACCTCGAGAGAGTCATTTGTTCTGCTTCCTTAGAAAGAACAGAGCAAATAGTAAAACTTAGGTTGTTGATGTTCATCCAGAATAAAGTCCATAGCTTTCTGCAAAACTGTGCTTTATTCAAATGTTCTTTCACATTGAAATCTCCCTTAATCTAAATTTAACTTTTTGTGACTTCATACTCACGTTTTGAATGAATAAAAACTTCTGACCTTTTCAACATTTTCATAGGTCCTGAGGGGATTGTCTAAACACTTTACACATGATTTTCCATTATTTTTCTGCTTATTTTAAATCTTTTGAAAGGTAATGAAAACAAAATCACTCTGGGTCTTGGCATTAACTCACCTCCTTAAATTCCTTAAATTTTTTAAACCTATTCGGTATCTAACTTAAAATTTCGTTTTAGTGTCACACAAATGTAGATGTCAATGCAACCTCCAAGAACAATTTCCTGAACTTGAACTTGTTGCTGCTGCTCTAGACTGAAGCCTGTTGAAACATTTCCCCACTTGCAGATCCTTCTCTTCTGGGAGGAAGCCCCTGCCAGGATTCAGGCTCAGGCTCCTTGTGTACTTCAGTTACATGTGGAGTTTTACCCCCTCTCTTTTTTTTTAATCTGAGCTCTTAAATGGCAACAAAGGTGAGCCAATGGTGGGGAGTAATGACAGGGCCCCAGTGAGTACCTGAAGCTCTTCTGAGACTGCGTCCTACTTCCTACTCAGCGCTCACATTTGGGTATCCTGGTTTTCCCAATTTTACTCTCCCTCCCAGAAATGGGCATCAGTACCTTCTGGCCCATTATTTCTCTTTCACAAAACGCTGAGTTTAAATGTTAAACCTTCACAGCACAGACCAGAAAGGGCCCAGGGTTTTCTTGAGCCAAATGCAAAGTTTGGCACACGTGGTTGGCCTCCTTAAATAAGTTTGGTGGGAGTGCTGCCCTATTAGCCTGATGAGCTCCCTGGAGGAAATCCCACGTGCTGTGAATATATGTTGTTATGACTTGACATTTTATGACATTTATGAAGCTTTTATTTTGGGGGGAAGTTGGGTGAAATGGATATAATCAGATTTGTGTTTTGAAAGAGCCCTCTGGCTACAGTTTAGAGACTAGGCTGGAGGGGCCTGGAGAATCTGCAGGGAGATCTGTTAAGAGACTGTTGCAATACTTCCGGTGAGAAAGGAAGCTGCTTTGGGCTAGGATGGTAACAGTGGAGAGGGAGAGATAGGTGCACTTGAAAAGTATTTAGGATTTTGGTGGATTTAGGACCCACCAACGGGATTAGGTGATGGCTGGGCTCTGGGGGCTGAGGGAGAGAAGAGTATCAAGGTTAAATGAGCTGCCTCAACTCTGATTGGGTGCAGTTATGGCATCTAATTGGCGCATGACATTTTTGTCACAGTTTCATGTGAAATAGTGGAATATCAGTGTTAGTGGAAGCCAAGGAGGCTCAGCCTCATGCCATGTGCTACGTTGTGTGATATTTGGAAAAAAACCTGACAAATAGCCATCTACTTTTCCTCAAGGCAAGTAGCAGTTTCATCAGGCAGGCAAAAATCGTAGGATTGCTATAGTCACTATATACTTAGTTTAAGGAGATTATTGCTGAAACAACAGTATAGGAAGAAACACTTTGTTTACTCATTTTCAAGACTGACTGGCTGCAGGCCGGCCCCATGGCCAAGTGGCTGAGTTCCTGCGCTCTGCTTTGGCCGCCCGGGGTTCACCAGTGCTGATCCTGGGCATGGACCTACACACTGCTCACCAAGCCATGCTGTGGTGGCATGCCACATAGAAGAGCTAGAATGATCTACAACTAGGATATGCAACTTTGTACTGGGGCTTGGGGGAGAAAAACAGAAAAAGAGGAAGATTGGCATCAGATGTTAGCTCAGGGCCAATCTTCCTTGCCAAAAATTCATTAAAAAAAAAAAAAGACTGGCTAGTGTCGGGTGTTCAAATTAGCTAACACTCAAGGTAGCACCCACTACATATAAATGTTAAAGAATTTTACTTGCTGTTGAGGACATTGGCTAGAAACACAAAGGAGAATTCTACTTCTCAAAATGCTTCATCATTATTTCACTGCAGCCCTCACAGAAGGTTTGTTCGTGGGGGAAGGACAGGGCAGAGGGCTGGGTCATCAACATTCTTGGCTCCATTATAGATAAACAGTGGCGTTTAAGGAACTGATGGCTTTGTTCAATGTCGCATGGGCTGTCAACAGCAGACTCAGGGTTAAGACTTTGAATCTTTGAACCAGCTTCCTGAAACAAAAATAAAAACAACAAGAACAACAAAATAACTGCAGTGTCATCTGACCTAAATACGAAGTCTGTCATTAGATTGCTTAAGTAGCAGATGTATTTGTCACGTGAAGTGTTTCCATTCTCTACTATTGTCTCAAAACTCAGAATTTAAAGAAGTCATGGATCTTAAATATACTATAATCCAGGAATCTCTTGATTCTTCTCAGGCTACATTGATTATCAGCTGTAGTCACTCTGGCGTGCTACCCAGTCATAACTTCTCAAACAATTGTCTTTATTAAATTGATGTCTGTCTTTTATTTGTGGGGTTAGTGGAAGGGTTGGAGGTGGAGACAAATGAGTTCAAGAAAAGTGAAAAAAACATCAGCTATTTTAAAATGACTAGTGATAATAAAAACAAACTCATCCCTAAGCCCTTTGGCCCCCCGAATAGAAATACTGAGCTAAATTAATATGAATGACCATACAGGTTTTAGGGCCTACATGTAACCAGTGAGGCTCACTCTAAGACTTATTCTTCATAGTCTATTGGGAAAGGAAAAGTGGAAAGGCTGATCAGCAAGAGTAAGAGCCATTTCTCAGCATGCTCTGGGGAACACCTCAGCGGCTCCCAGGATCCCACTGCTGATTTTATTTGCAAAGGTCCAGCTGTACCGTGGTCCCTCTGAGAACTGTACCTTTTGTTTCCTGGATGCCCCTAGTACTGGGGATGACCTAAAATTCCTGTGTATATGTAACCCCTTGATCTCCCACTCCTCTAGATACCACATCCTCCAGGGTGCCCAAGGCTGACCTGGATTCTTGGAATGGAAGCCAATCGCCTCTGCTGTCAGCACTGGCTCTGCATGTGCTGGGCTGGCTCGTTGTTTTCCATAAGACTTTTGTCCCACACTTATTGCCTAGTTTGAAGCAGACTTCATTTCCTTAAATCTGATCTTGAAAGAAAATCTGCTTGAGATGACCTAAGGCCATATTAGTAGACCAACCTCAGTGAAGACATTTAAAATCCCTAGGAAACAGTTATTTTTTTCCCCTCCTTTTCGAGGGTCTCTCTTTTTTGATGACTCCTCTCCTAATAGTTTCAAGTCCCAACAGCTGAAGTCCTACGTCTTCTACGAGGTGAGAGTCCATTTGTTTCATCCAAATCAGAGTCTGTTTGACTTGTTCCGTACAGCTCCATAGCTCTCCAACTGCCTTCTGCTAGGTGCCACTCAGCTTGTTGAACGGATGGTTACTGCCTCTCGAATGCCTTCAAACAGTTATGTGTGTGAGACTGGGGGCCTCTTATGTGGATGTTCCAGCCATGTCAGTGTGGCCTCTCCCTTCAGCCTGCTTTGTTTATCCAGCAGCTCATTACTTAAGAGTAGCCTGTCAAAATAGGTTAAATATTCTTTGGGAAACATGGTCACTCACATCCTTGAGATACCACAAATATGTTTAATACAGGGAAGATTGGCTTGATAAGAAAAACGTAACTGACTTGCATCACCAAAAAATATTTTCCTGTTATTCTGGTTGAGTTTCCACAAGCATCAATAAGCACCAGCAAACTGAAGGGCAATAAATTTCTGCAGCCGACACATAGAGACACCAAGGGAAGCAGGGAAAATGATTGCTGATGATTCATTCTAACTACTTGACCTTCTGACCTCTTCTCTAGATATATGATCAAGATGGGACACTACAGCACTTTATTGATGGTGGGGAACCTAGTAAGTCGAGCTGGATGAGGTATATCCGATGTGCAAGGCACTGCGGAGAACAGAATCTAACAGTAGTTCAGTACAGGTAAAGTATATCTTGATTTCCACTTACGGAGCTGAAGCCCTTTGGCTTGCATCTACAAATTCAGGCTTGCTGCTAGATTTGAAAAAAAATCCCAGAGTCCTGCAGCACTCTGTAAGGACTGGCAGAAATTTTTTTGTGCGGTTTCTGAAATCTTAGTTCTTGCAAAAGTTATTTCACGAGAATTCAGGAAGAAAGATGCTAGTAGAAGGCCTCTTTCACTCAGCGCAAGTGGTAAAGTTACTTCCACATCATCGTCTGCTCTTCCGCAGTGGCCTGAACAAGCCCAGTAAACCCATTGGCTTGGGGGGTCCCCCCAGCGGATGTGTACACACACATGACTAGGAGCTGGGAGATTCAGTCCTGATCCTTTGCTTTCAGTCACCTTCAGGCTATCCCCCAGGGAGAACAGTTTCATGTGCACAACCGCATGGGAAACCAAGAACTCTCAACCTTCCCAAGGCTGCTTTTCCAAAACCGTTATGCTCCGCAGCAGTGGCTGAGCCAGAATAACCTCTCCTGATCCCTCGAAAGGTGCCAAAACATTTCACTTTGGCCCTTCAACGATTCAGAATATGTTTCAGGTGATGAGGTGGTTCCAGAGCATAGAGAAACCCCCATTTTCCCAAGATGTTTGGGCAAAGCCAAAAGGGTCACAAAGACAAAGTGGAGCCACCTCCATTTCCCACAGTCTCCTAGGGAGACCCCTGGGGGGCTGAGAAGCTAGGTGGATTCCCAGATGCTAAGCCACATCTGCTCAGTGCACCTGTTGGTCAGGCATTTCCACTTAGTGCTAAAGAAGGTTGCAGTGGAGAGGAGAAGGCAAAAACAGATCACATAGGAAAAAAGCCCTACCCCTAAGCCTTCCTTTCTCAAAATCCCTCGAAAACATGTGCGATGTAAATATATGACCTCAGTTATAAACAGCCGTGTTCCCTTTAGAATCAGAAGCAACTGTTTAGCTTTATTAGGCACCACAGACACATCAAAGCAGAAGGCCCTGTGCTCGGCAACTTGGAGTCCTGCCTATGGCTATTTATTTTCCTTTCCTTTTTTTTTTTTTTGGTTTTTAAAAATGAAGCCTTAAAAAAAAAAAAAAAACCCTTTATTCCCCTTATAGGTTAAAGGCTGCTCAAATCTGGCGTGGTCTCCAATTCAAAAGGAATGTATTTGAGCAGCCTGTGACTCCCTGCCTTGGTTTCCTGGGCAGTTATATTTCATTAAATAATGGTTTAAATGAAATAGTACACTATGGTATTTGGTTACACTGCTGTGTACGGGCTTTACTCACCTTTATTGCAGCTGCATTTCTGCCATGAAGTTTTTATGAAACTGGAGCTAGAAAATTAGTAAAGACTGTGCTTGTCCATTCAGCAAAAGATAGTTTGGCTGGTTCTGTAATGAGCACCCGGGGAGCTCTTGAGGCAAATTCTGAATCTGGGAAGACAAGAAACCCCTAAGAGGAAGGTGGGCATGAGTAAGTCATTACCTATCTGTCAATATTAAGTGGATTTTTATAGCTCCCCTTTCATGATGGCGCTTAAACTTCGAGTTCTCTCTGCTGATCTGTTTTCGATTACTTCAGATCTTTATAAAATGAACTACAAAAACACAATTTAAAAAACTGGCATCCGTCACCAGTGACCACGTCCAAGAGTAAGAAAATAGAAAAGTTGGACCCTGAAGAGCCAGCCTAATTTTTATTGTACATGAATGTCCTCTTCACAAAAAGTCAGCTGGTTTAGATTCATTCTGTTATGATTTGTAATATCTAAATGGAATTTTCTTCAAAGCGCCCTTGATTGATTGACCCTTAGCTGAACGTTTTGTTTTTATTTTGAGGCTGACAATAATGTTTGTTGGCGTGTGTTCTGCTTCAACTGCGTTGGGACGCCATGAAGCTATCTTTATGAGTCATCCAACCACAATACTAAATACATGTCAGCAAAGGAAATATTATCTGGAAAGGGAAAAATCCCTTTGATGTGCTTGAACATGCAGAGATCTCTGCGAGTTTTGGAAGCCCTGCCCGCTTGTGAGGAACGGTGTATGCTTACACATTTTTTTTCCCTCTCGGCCTACTCCGTGCCTCAGAAGACCACCCATTGCTCGAAAACAGTTCTGCTCTTTCAGCGGCAAAGTGTGTCATTTGGTTTTAGCACATTCATTTGCCGGGCGCTGTGTTTATATGAAGGGAAGCCAAACCGAGAGATGAAATGTTACAAGGGTGAAGTACAGAGTAGACTCCGTTTTTCTCAAGTTAGGAGATGCCAGTGATTTATAGCTCTGCTCCAATTTTGATTTTTTTACGTAGCAGTGGAAAGAATTAATAAAACGCACAGCTCTTGGAGATGCGGAGGAAGGAAGAGTAGTGAGGTCTGGACAACTGGCTGGAGTTTTTGTCAGATATTCATAGAATGTTGGGAAAAACGTTCTGCTTAGCTAGCAGTGCCCTCCTGAGACAGAATGGCAGCAAGTGAGGAAAATAACAAGATAAATGAAATTTTTGCAGCTGCAAGTAAAATATTGAGAATCTGCACTTTTTTATTGATCTTTATGATCCTATTGCCAAGAGCCACTTTGTGGTGACAAAATATGTTGACAAGTGCATATCTCACTGCCATGAAAAATGTGATGAAGGATTCGCCTTATGTCTGCAGTGTTATACAAGGGACAAATTGCCCTACTACAGCCAATTCCTTACAGAAAGGCTAAATTTAAGGCCCACCAACCCTAAACACTTTTATCTTGAACTTGAGGGTAATATTTGTAGCAATTCTTCACTGAGAAAAGCAGTTGCAGTTTTTTTAATCTGTAGATTTTTCTTTACAGTACCAAAGCTGTTATAATAAAATGTTTATTTCTTGGTCCCTTCACTCTATCATTTCAGAGTGTAATCTTTCAGCCAGAGTAAAGTGCTCTTTCTTGTATTTATTGAATTTCCATCCATTTCACATAAGAGAGTTTTTCTCCTCTCTTGTATCAAACTTTAGAAGAAAGGCAATGGGGAAGATTTTTATTTCTCTCAGTCCTTATATCACAAAGCTGCTTAATTTTGTTACAAAATTGGGAACTCCCAATGCCAAGTTGCAAGAATACACAGAATGCTTTTCCTTCAAATAAGAAGTCAATAGTATTAATTTATATTTGAGGTTGAGGCACCGGTGTCTGCAATTTGCTGAGAGAGAATATTCTCATCAGTGTCAGATGGAATTTTTTTTTTTTAAATGAACTCTTTCTTTCTGCTGTCTCCTGGGCCAAATATCTGTCTCTTCAGCCAAGACATTCTGTGGAGGGACACTGTGGAAATAAACTGTGAGCTGTTTATCATACTGAGTTACAGGCTCTAATTGGTTGCTGGGAATGATTAGGTGGGTGCAGATTTTATTACAAACAGAAACTGGTTAGGTGGAGCTGGGAGGACTTTTTCGGGGCAATAAAAATGTGGTTGGGGGCACATGAATCCTACCTATTACTAAGCTGGGTTTTCTTTTGTTTTGAATAGGTCGAATATATTCTACCGAGCCTGTATAGATATTCCCAGGGGTACCGAGCTTCTGGTGTGGTACAATGACAGCTATACGTCTTTCTTTGGGATCCCCTTACAATGCATTGCCCAGGATGAAAACTGTAAGAATTTCTTTTGGCTCTGAATTCACATCTCAAATACCTATTTCTAAGCTGACTTTTTAAGAGTGTTGTTTGAAACTCCTGAAATGCAGGTCACTCTGATACGTAATGCCAATGTGCCCAAGTCGGTCCATCAATTTCTTTTCCTTGTACGTTCTTTGCTTTTTTACAGGGCATTTTCACTTGTATAGGCCAATCCTTCTTTGCCTGTTCACAATTTCAAAACCTTTCCCTTAGTTTTAAATAATTACTGGCAGCAATGTTAAGGCGGCTGGTATTTACTGAGTGCCTACTGTGTGTCTGGTTCTGTGCTTGCCACCTTTTGGGGTTATAAGAGCAGCATGAGATAAATCTTCTGCTCTGAAAGTTTGCACAGTCTTTCTGGAGTCACACTGTATGCAAAAATGAAATAAGAGAAAACAATGCTGTTTAATGGAGTACACCCCTCTAGTCAATTGGGTGTGCCTCCTCCTACGTACTCACTGGAGTGAGGAATGGAGGTAAAAATCTTGGCTGAGGAATTTGTGTCTCTCTAAATTTCTTACTCTAAAATGAACCATGTAATTTTCTTCTATCCTTATTACTATGACAATCATAATCTTTAAAAATAATCTAACATCTAGGCAAATGCAAATGTAGCAATTTTCACTTAAACTTTATATTTTTGTTTTATCAGATCTTTGGAAAATATTATAAGGTGATTTCTAGTATTTGGAAAAGAATTGGGTAATTCTGATATGGTTCAGTGAAAAACACTGGTTTCAATGATGTTATTTTTTCTTGTCACCAAATTGACTAATCTGTGAATTGATGATTTGGTATTATGCAACAGAAAAAGAAACAGAGAGAACAGATCTATCTAAGGAAGTTCATTCAGAAAAAAAAAGTGTTATTAACTTTTTCCTTCTTCACTTCTTTCTCTTTCTCTCTTACATACACACTCCAATAAAAAAAAAAAATGCTCATACTACTACTGATCCAAATGCTGATGGTCAGATATTTCTTTTCCATATTGTCTTTATTTTCTTTGTAAAAAACAGAATCCTCAAAAAGAATATTACTATCAACTGTCCTTTTATACTTTACCCTAACCCCAAACCAATCTCAAATCAAAACATGCATCTTTGGACATATAGTACATTCCTCTTACCTCCCAAGTTTCCATTGGAAAGTTTTTTTTCTAAAGTGATACTGCTATGTGAAGGAGTGTCTGTTTTCATAAGAGAAAATCTCAGTGTTGGACCCGAGTGTGCAGTTGGTGTTAGAGACAGATATAGGTATGCAGGCTAGTATGCTTTCCTCTCAGGATGACTCCTTGCCCCAACTTCCCTAAAGCTACTTCTAGGTCCTCACAAAGAAAGGCACCAGTATAAGCCCCCATGATCTGCTGACGTGGGCCTGTCTGTACGTTAGAACCTTGACATAAACTAAGCTTCTGAAGTATGGAATTTGATCCAACAGAATTCCAGAAATCCTATAATGTCCTCTGCTTCCTCCTCTAATACAACCTGCTATGGACTCTGAAGACATTATTCTGGTGTGTTTGTGTTGAGGAATGTCGAGAGTAAACGTATCAAAGCCTAGAGTTCTGAAATACATAACACAGAGTCCAAATATTCATTCGTTGGTTCATTCATTCATTCATTGATCAGATATTTATTGAACACTTACTATGGGCCAGTGTCTTTGCTAGGTCCTGAAAATACAGCAGTGAACACAACAGACAAGAATTCTTGCCCTCATGGAGCTTACATTCTAGTGGAGGGAGACAGATTATCAGCAAGTAAATGAGCAAATAAAAAGTTTGTCAGGTGGTGATAAGTGTAGAGATAAAGCAGAGAACGGGTAAGGAGTACCAGGAGTTGAGAACTGCAGTTTTAGGGAGTGATCACGGTAGGCCCTACTGGGAAGGTGGCCTTTGGGCAAAGACTTAAGGAAGTGAAGGAACAAGCCATGTGTTAGTTTGGAGAAGAGTATTCCAGGCATCCAGACTAATAGTCTAAAGGCTGCAAAATGGGGATATTCCTGGCCTGTTGGAAGAGAACCATGAGGTTGAAATAAGTGTGTTAGAGTGAGTGAGGTGGGGAGAAGTCAACTCAGATATGGGGAGAGCTAGGGATCTTGTAGGGCCTAGGAGGCCACCGTCAGGATCTGGCTGTTACTCTGTGTGGGCCTGGTGAAGTTGTAACGGGATTACTCTGGCTACTGAGTGGAGGCTACACAGTAAGAGGTGAGAATAGAAAAGGGAATTCAATTAGATGCTCTTGCTGGAATCCAGGGGAGAGATGATGGTGGTTTGGACCACAGTAGAAGTGGTGGAGGTGGTGAGCAGTTGTTGGATTCTGGATATATTTTGAAAGTCAAGCCAGCAGCCTTTGCTGATACTCTGGATGCTGAATGAAAGAGAAAGGAGTCGAGGATAACTCTGAGGCTTTGGTGTGAGGAACTGGAAGGATGGAATGGCCATTTACTGAGTTAGGAGTCAGAAATGGAAACTGTGGAATGACTACTTAGGGAACGCATTTCTTCCCCTTGACGGGGATCTCTGGAGTGGAAGTCACACATCCACAAGATTGCTTCCACCTCATGATGTGGTGCATGGATGAGAGGGATTTAGGGCTGAGCTGGAGGATTATGGGGTCTTATGTGCCATTCAAAGACACCTGACAATGGACGTCTAAGAGTGTAACTTCTGGTCTTCAGATTCAGCGCTGCAGTGCCATCAAAAAATGTACTTTCCGGAAATAACATATGTTTTGCTTCTCAATCCTTCTTTCTCCTATAGTCCCACCTATGGGAAGCATTCTTGAGATTGTTGATTAGAGTATTGAATAAACTCTACCAGGGCATATGTTATGTCATTTAGCACCTGAAATCCTTGGAAGGAAATTTGCAAAGCCACAGCAGCTTGAAGTATTGTGGATTCAGTAGGTAAACTAGGCAGCTCTTTTGGGTTGAGTTCAGAGCTCTAAGTAAGGGTGGAGGGAAGTTTAAAGGGAATTAAGTCATTGACTAAAATGCTCAACAGTGACAATCTCCCTTTCCCCTAAGGGCACTATAGGAATTTTATTTCAGTTCCTGTCTCAAAGTCATATATCTGTCAGTGATTGGCCACCCAAGAAACCAGCAGAAAGCTTCATCAGATAGTGTGGGGGAAATATATGACTTTGACTCTTAACTCTAAGATGGATTCTCATTCCATATGATTCACTGAGAGACCTGGGAATGCTTTATAATGAGGGTTCCTTATTCTGTACTGAGAAAATACTCTGTGTGATTTAAAAGCACAAATGTGTGAAAGGGCATGAACAGATAATTTAACAGCTAGCCTTCCACAGCCCTGAGTAATTTAAATCATCTCAACAGGATTAGCAATTCTAAGACAATTTTTATCCTACTGAGCTAGCCACAAAATAAATTAGGTACCTTAAAAAGAAGCTTCTTGAGATCAAAGACTTATTTGACAAAATGCCCCCACAGAGCCTCCTTGTAGTGCTATGCACCCGGTAAACAATTAATAAATGCTCACGGGATAAATATTGAGAATTTTATTGCCATTATTAGGAGGGATTAAATACTTCAGCCAGATTTTTCTTCATTAATGAAATTGATACATGGACCAAGACATTCAAGAAAAATATGATTTTACTTAGTGAATAATACTTATTAAGCACTTTCATTTATAAAAATATCATTTTCTTCCCATGGTTCTTTCAACATCGAAAGTACACATTTCCTACTGAGCATGTGTGGTGGGCTCAGGCTCCAGTCACTGCCCTTCTGGCAGCTGCCGTGAAGCAGTGGGGCATACACAGTGCCTGGACAAGCCATTGAAAGCTGCCTTGCCCCGAAGAGAAGACAGCGTTTCACACAGGCATTTGAGTTCTGGAAGCAATTCCTATGTTATTTTCTTTTAAAAACCCATAGTTATGAATGTAATAGAGCTCCAAAGAGAGAGCCACTCCATCCACTGTGGGCCTTTCAGAAGAGCCTGAAGGAACGCCTGTGTCGACAGATTGCATCCGCAAGAAGGAATGAGGTTCCCCAAAGCTTCCAGTGGGGGATTAGCTCCTGCAGAGTGTAAAGACCGTAGTGTATTCATATTTGTTTCAGAGGAAATTAAAAAAAAACCTGGGAATAAATGTTCAACAAGTCTTCCTGCTGCTTTTTCTGTCTTGGCATATGAAGCTGAGGTAGCAGAATGTGAAACTTGATGGCAACCCAGGGGTTGCTGCACTGAAGTAAACTCTGCCTCCATGAGGCCAGCCTTTTCCTACTGATTTTACAGAGCAGAAAATAAAAAGGGACACTTCTGCATAGTGCCCCTTACCCCCACCACCTTACCACAATGAGAAACTAGGCCCAGGGTAAGGAAGGCCCTACTCAAGCCTTCTATCTATGAACACTGAGGAGACTAGAATATAGTTCAACCCAACAAGAACAACAGTGTGCAAGGCCCTGTGTGAAACATCGTGATGAGCTACAAAACTCAGGCCCTGTCCTCAAGGAACTCAGGCTAGAAGAAGGCACATAAGCATACAACTACAGTACAAAACACAATGCAGGTGCCACATATGACGGCCAGTGAGCCTGAGCTCCAGGGGTGTTAGACTGAGTATTAATGCAGTTGGGAGGAGTCAGGTTCCAGGCCCGCTGTGCACAGTGGGAAGCTGAGATTGGACTCCTTACATAAATCCAGGAACTGGGAGTTACTATTTTGTCCCAGAAAGGAGACTAGAAAAATGCTGCCCTCAACCAGTAGGCCAGGGAACCATCTGTCTTGGGCCATTAGTGAAAACAGAGTGTCACACTCTAAAAACCAGCCACAACTATAGGATAGTGTGGGGTTTGATTGTGCACAAACTTCCAAGTATGGAAACCCTGGGCCAAGAAAGGAATATAAAAATTGGTCTAGAACTAGAGAATCCTGTAGGGTCCTAGAAGAAGCAAAGGCAAAGGAGAAGTCACCCCACAGGGATGCCTCTGCATCTGTGCAGGAC